GAGGGAAGTGGGGAAAAATGAGAAGAAAGGACTTTGGACCCCAACCCCTGCAACACCCCCACCTGAGACTCCTTCCACTAGATGAACATTCTGCACAGACAAAGCCGGGGGTTGTCAAGCCAGAAGTTCAGAGAGGTGGCGTAACTTGTCTGTGGATGCAAAGCCAGCCAGGGTCAGAGCTGAGGCCTAAACTCCCTCGCTCCTATCCCAACGTTCTTTAAATACTAACTTTCAAAACACATCAGTACTGCTCCTTAATTATGGAAGGTGATTATTTATACACAGTCAGCCCATGTCCAGGCTGTTGCCTCTGCTTGGAATTCCCTCTCCCCAACACCGCCCCCAACATTTCTCTCTGGCAAGCTTCTATTCATACCCTAAAGCCCAACTGACATGTCACCTGCTCCTGGATTTCTCTCTCCACCCACCCCCTCAACTTAACAGACTGAATTACTCGTTTTGTGGGTCCCCACGCCCTTCACATGTCTCTGCTGAGCACATGACAACTTACATGTCTATTTCTTTCCCCGGGCCATGGGCTCCTTCCAAGAGGGGAATCACACCAACGTCTAGCATAGTGTGTGGCTCAATTGACATTGCTAATTGGGGATCAGTTGCCCATGACCATGAATGTGTGGAGGGAGGGAATAGGTGAAGAAGGGGCCTCAGGACTCAAGGTCAACTTGCTAGAAATATGGCTCCTGCTGGAGATGGTAACCAGGGTATGTGGCTTTCTCTCCAGATAGATTTGTGTCTATGAAGACCCCAAGTGCTATCCATGGGGGCAGAACAGATCCAAAGAAGGGGCATGTTCCACAGGAGGTATCGGGCAACCTGAAGGGACCCCCTACTTCACTGTCCTCTGTCGGGACCGGGTTGAGGCAAAAGCAGCTCCTGGCCTGAGCTAAGCCCCTGACCCTGGCCTGGCCAATATGGGAGGTCAGGCAAGCCTGCTCCACTCCCCCTTCTTTCCCCAGATGGGCAATCAATTTCTTGCACACCCCAAGTAAGTGTTGAGGGGGCCCTGCCTCTTTGATAACTGGTGCAGCCCAGCTCCTAAAGCAAGAAACCTGGGTCAAAACTCAGGCTTGGGATTTGGGTTTGGGATAGGGTTTCAGCAAAGTTTGAGAAATCAGGTTAGGGTGAGATTTGAGAGGCTGGGTGCCGCGACTTGCAGGGAGCTTTCAGATTGGTGAAGAAGAAAGGTCCCTGCCCTAAGTGAGCTCAAGGGGAAAAACACATGAACGCAGGCCGTTAGGGCCCACTGGGACACAGGGCTGAACTAGGACCAGAGAGGAATGGGTAGGGGAGGAGAAACAGAGGATGGGGAGAGAGGAGGAGGTGACTGGTGATGCTCTGGCCTCCCTGCTGTAGCTGGATGTGAGCCCAGCAATGAGAATTCTCTCTCTAGAAGCTCCTGGAGACACTCAGTTGTATTGCTCTGTGTGTGTCCCTGTATGTGTGTTTCTGTTTGGCAGAAGTGGGGGAGGTAGGATGGAAATGGGACAGGACATTCAGAGATGAGCGACTAATTTCCTGTTAATGGCTGGTTGCTTGGCAACTCAGCTTCTCTCTGCCTTTTGCCCTCAAAATTGGACTGCAAGAATTTTTAGTGTTAAAGCACCTCCCATGGAAACTCAATTCTGTGAGAGGCGGGCCCTGTCGTCATTGCCCTGCCCTGCCCTATCCCACTAGGTAGCAGAACAGGGAACAGGACACAAGAAAACCAAAGCCACAGGCACACACAGCCGGCCACAGCCTCTCATTCTGTCTTTTGTGCCATCCTCTTCATGAACAATCACACATACATGTGTGCTTACCCCCACACGTGTTGATAAGAGCATATGTGTACCTATACAAACACACTAATCTGTGGCCCACACACATGTAACAATAGTAAGCTGAGTGCCTACCATATGACAAATACTTTACCCTCTCAAAGACGCCTTTCCTGGTCACCCTGTCATTAGTAGCACTCTGATCATGCATCCTAATTGGTTTTCTTCACTTAATATTTGCTTGTTTGTTGGTTTGGATATGGTGTTTCTCTCTGATACGGTTTGGATCTGTGTTCCCACCAAATTTCATGTTGAATTGTAATCCCCAGTGTTGGAGGTGGGGCCTGGTGGGAGGTGATTGGATCATGGGGGCAGAGTTCTCATTAACAGTTTAGCACCATCCCTTGGTGCTGTCATGGAGATAGTGAGTGAGTTCCTGCGAGGTCTGATTGTTTAAAAGTGTGTAGCACCTCCCTACTCGCTTGCTCCTGCTCCTGCAGTGTGAGATGCCTGTTCCCCACTCACCTTCCCCCGTGATTGCAAGGTTCCTGAGGTCTCCCCAGAAGGCGAGCAGATACCGGCACCATGCTTCCTGTACAGTCTGCAGAACCCTGAGCCAGTTAAACCTCTTCTCTTTATAAATTACCCAGTCTCAGGTATTCTTTTATAGCAATGCAAGAATGGCCTGATATCCTCTCCCATGAGAATATTAACTCCATTAAGACAGAGATTTTGTCTGTTTTGGTGCATTACTGAATCCTCAGCATGTAAAACAGCACATGGTAGGCATTTTAATAAATAATTAACTGACAAACAGAATGAGTAACTACACGTGCAAGTGTATCTGCATTTTTTCATCCACATGCATATACATATATATACATATATATATATATATATATATATATATTTCCATGCACACATCACACACACACACACACACACACACACAAAGATTTTTGCATGAGTGGAAATTCTAATACACTGTGTTGAGACTTCTTAGAATTACACAAACTAGAAAGGCAATGCTAGAGTCTCGTTCCCAGCAGACGTCAGTCTGCATAACAAAGCATGTGGGGTATGGCAATGAAATTTAATGTTCAAATTGCATAATAAAATATTTATATATATATATGCCTTTTATACTCCCTATATAATAAAAGTAACAGTATTTTCATGGATGCTTTTCTTATTCAGTGTGTAGCTCCCTCCCACTTCTGGTTTTACATGAGGCTCTTTTAATAATACTCTGGGGAAACACCCAGCAAGAAAGGGATGGGCAATTTATTCCTAAGTGGTTTATAACACTAAGTAACTAATGTTAACCCTCATGGGCTACTCCCCATCTCCCCCTCCATGGGGATGGGAGGAAGCATGGGCTGGGCTAGAGCAGTCAAAACAGTTGAACAAAACATGCTCGTAGCACATAAATCATCTTCATCTCCCCCTCCCTTTCTTATTTCTTATGCTACATAATAGAGTGATTCGTTCATATTAGCTAACAGCAAAAGAGAACCAGGTAGAAAGGGAAAGTTTCTTATAGGTACAACTTTTCTGTTTCATGGGTAAATATTGGTATTGTGTAAGCAATAATTTATTTCAAATGCTCATTAACAGCTGTTAAACTTTATTATTTATTAATAGGCTAATAATTTATTTAATTTTAAAAAATTAAATATAGAACTACTAATAGATTAAATTTAAATAATTAAGCCTAATATAAGTGGAGAGGGACTCCGGTAGAGAACTGTGTTCTGCAAAGTGTTTTGTGTAAGACATAAGAATCCTGTGTATGGAAAGACTTCCAGCTGTACATGAAATATACACTTATGTATTCATGAATGAGAATCTGGGCAGCAGTAGACATAACAAGCAGAGATAAGGTTATTCCGATTCCACTTAGAGAGTGACTTCAAACCCTGTGGATCAATGCTTGCATGTTGAACAAAACATGCTCGTAGCACATTGCACATATGGCTACCCCCAGTGAGGGAAGCCTAGGGCAGTTCACACACAGAAAATGAGAGAGAGAGAGAGAGGGAGAGAGAGAGAGAGAGAGGGAGAGAGAAGCGACCTTCATCATGGGATGACAGTCCTGCCTGCAGGTCTAACCTTCCCACAGCTGACACTAACCCCTGAGATTTAACATATTAACTTCTCAGAGCTGACCTTTTTGCACTTGACCCTTGCCTGCTACACCTGTGGAGCCAGTCAATTCCACAAAGAGTTTTAGAGCAATCTCGGCCATTCTGATGACAGCTCCTGATGCCAGTCATCTTAGTCTATTCAAGCTACTATGACAAAATACCTTAGGCTGGGTGATTAATAAACAACAACAAATTCATTTCTTACAGTTCTGGAGGCTGGGAAGTCCAAGAGCAAGGAGCTGGCAGATTTGGTGTCTGGTGAGGGTTTGCTGCTTGGTTCATAGAGAGTGCCTTTTGGCTGTGCCCTTACATGGTAGAAGAAGCGAGGGAGTTCTCTGGGGTCTCTTTTATAAGAGCACTTACCAGCCAGGCATGGTGGCTCACTCCTGTAATCCCAAGACTGTGGGAGGCTGAGGCAGGTGAATCACCTGTTGTTAGGAGTTCGAGACCAGCCTGGTCAATGTGGTGGAACACTGTCTCTACTAAAAAATGCACAAATTAGCTGGGCATGGCGGTGGGTGCCTGTAATCCCAGCTACTCAGGAAGCTGAGGTAGGAGAATTGCTTGAACCCAGGAGATGGAGGTTGCAGTGAGCCGAGATCATGCCACTGCACTCCAGCCTGGGTGACAGAGCGAGACTCTGTCAAAAAAAAAAAAAAAAAAAAAAAAAAAAGCACTGATCCCATTCATAAGAGCTCTACCTCCATGACTTAATGCTTCCCAAAGACCTCACCATCACCTTGGGGGATAGCATTTGAACACATGAATTTGGGGTGTGGGACACAAACATTGAGGCCATAGCACCAGTCTTCTCATATTTCCATGTGCACACAAATTACTTGGGGATCTTGTTAAAATGCATGTTCAGATTAGCAAGGCTGAGATGGGTCTGGGTCTGCATTTCTGACAAACGGATGCTGTTAGAGATGACCCAGGGCCTTACTTAGTTATAACAGAAGGGCCTTAGGCTATAGAAGCCCTTTCTTTTCCCTGGAGTTTCCACCCTCCCCATACATGTTTTCCAACCCCAGGCCCTCTTGCAGCTCTAGCCATTGGGCTTGGAGCTCACCTGGCTTGTTGTGGTGGAATGAGCTGAAGTGTCTCAATGTCAGTTGATGCTGAGTGCCAGAGCCTCTACCAACAGCTGAATGTAGAGCTGGGCAAGCTGGGTGGAATCCTGCCCCATGGAACACACATGATCTTATGGAAGAAACCATGGACCAACCTCCATATGATTCATGTTCAGGAAGAAGACATGCAGGGGTCTAGGGGTTAACACTTTAATATTCCCAGCATCATGCTAGGTACTCATCAGGGGCTCACTAAATAGTTACAGAAGATAGAACATGATTAAAACACATATTCTAGAGCCAGAATGCCCAGGTTCAAACCCTCTAATTCCCAGCTATGTGACATCGAGCCACTTTCTTAACATCTCTGGGTGGCCATGTCTTCATCTGTCAATCTGGGAAAATATTCACCTCATAGGTTGACAAACTTTGAATGAGATACTATGTTAAATATATATGTGTGTGTCTAGAAACTGCTTAGCACAGAAATTCAGTGGTACCTACTATTATTGATTATTATAGCCTATCTGGTGAGTGGGATCAAACTGTCTTCACATCTAAACAGTTCTCTATGAGCTTCACCCATCCCTGACTCTAAAATCCAATCATCATTTTCACAAGAAGATAAACCAAGACAGTGCGGAAAACCTTTCATTACCTGGTTCTCCTTCGCTGTAAGCCTTAGCAGTTGACTAGCTCAGCCCATCTTCAGTGCAATCAACACAGCAGCCATAGTCCTGAATTCCTGAATGAGTACAATATGCTTCCTTGAATCTCTAAGAGACATTAAATTGCATCTGACAAGGTTTTGATGTTTTCTAAGTTTCACTGCATCTTATTTATTTGAAAATGCATTGTATGATACCTATAGTGAGTCTCTCCTAAGCAGCATGAGCAGGGCTGAGGAGTCAGACAGGCCCAAGGCCAAATCCTGGTTTCATCCGTCCCATGAGGGTCACACCTACAGCAGAGGCTGGCATGCTGCTCTCGGGGGTCAGAACCCCTGACTCCGATTCCATATCTACCATTAGCAAAGTGCATGTCTCTGGCAAACTGGCGGACCTTTCTGAGCTTCAGCATCCTGATTTAGGTTGAGTGAATAATGTATCTGCTCCCAGGGTTCTTGAGATTGAAATGAGATCGTGGAGGGAAAGTATTTGGTTAGCCAATGGGGACTGGCATCCAATATGCTGTTATACAGTAGTATTTATTATTAGGACTTACTTTCCCCTCTACTGCCTCCTCCAGTTCAGGACAGCACTGGCCTGGGAGACTTCAGGACCTGGAGGAGGGGAGATGGAGGTGTTACGGGGTGTTACGGGAAAGGGCAATTAAGTAGGCCTTTACTCTGACCCCTGATGCCTGGAAGCCTTTGCTGCAGATATGAAAAAGCTTAAAGAGGTAGAAAGTGTCAGCCCTTGAGAGGTGTTGATGGGCTAGGACAGAGGCCCTGTTAAATGAGCCCCTTGGGGAATAGCTTTGGGGAGACCCTTTTAACAGGAAATTCGCCATTCCTAGTCCTAGCGCCTACTAGCGGGAGAATGTCAGGGGCCCCGAAAGAGGAAGATTTATTCTGGGTTGAAAATTGCACCCCTCTCTGTTGTGGTATTTCTTTTACATCCCTTGAAATGTGAAAGCCAGATTCAACAAACTCTGTGGCTTCAGGAGGTCAGACGTCCAATTTACATATAAATGGAGACCAAGAGCTTCAGAAAGAAAAAAAAAAATGTTGGGAAAATTGTCGCTTGAGGATTAAGCCTTGCGGAAAATCCAGAGGAGACATATCCCAGAGGGAGAAGAACTGAAAGGATTCAGGGGCTGACTCCTGTGTGTCTGCCCAAGGGGTCCCTTACATCCAAGTCACTAGAAGGTAAGGGGCTTCCAACACCATTTCCTTCATACCGATAATTGCGACAGGTAACATGGATGTGGAGCCTGTGATATGCCAGGCACTGTACTGAGTGCTTCATACCCACCACCCCATGGACTCCTCAAACAATCTGGGAGGGTTGGCATTACACAGGTGAGGAAACCGAATCCCAGAGTAATGTGTCCACCTAGGAAGTGACACAGGCAGCTGGTTGCTCTGAAGCACAGCAATGCTGCCTCCTGGGGCTGGCCTAGCTTGGCTGTGGATTCCAGGGGAGCCCTAGGCTGGAGCCCTGAGGAAGCCCCTCCAAGCACTGCCAGCCTGACTGCTGTTATTCCCATGAGCTGCCTCCCTGTTCAACCATGATTTACACCAATCCCTCCCATGAAGCTTTGATTTTACCAAATTAGTAAATTAGAGAAGAGATATGGCTTTCATCTCACTGATATATAATCTAAAAACAACAACAGCAACAAAACTATCCAAAACCCTTACAGCCAACAAATATATGTTTTCTACTTAGGCAAAAATAAAGGGAGTAGTGAGACAGTCCCCAATTCCATCAACTGGGGAAATAAAGAGAATCGTTCATTGACTGTCAAGAAGTTGGTTAAAGGAAAATAGAACACAGAGGAGTCTGAGTCACTGGGTATGCCGTTATTTTGTCTTTGTTTTTTTTTTTTTAAGAACATTAACATCTTTCCTATCAGTTATTTTTAAATTTAGGTCTGATTGAGACTCTTTGAGTTGTGATACAGCATCTAATAGTTCCTTTGGGCGTCTGTCCTCCCACCCCAACTCTCAAAACATAAGATCATATAAAAGTGCTTAATAAATGCTTGCTGGCCGGGCGCGGTGGCTCACGCTTGTAATCCCAGCACTTTGGGAGGCCCAGGCGGGTGGATCATGAAGTCAAGAGATCGAGACCATCCTGGTCAACATGGTGAAACCCCGTCTCTACTAAAAATACAAAAATTAGCTGGGCATGGTGGCGCACGCCTGTAGTCCCAGCTACTCGGGAGGCTGAGGCAGGAGAACTGCTTGAACCCAGGAGGCGGAGGTTGCGGTGAGCCGAGATCGCGCCATTGCACTCCAGCCTGGGTAACAAGAGCGAAACTCAGTCT